TGCCTAGCCAACCCTCATATGTTTTGCCATATTCAACACAAAATCATTCATAAGATGGTTAATTAATTTAATTTTAGATGATAAGAAAGCTTTTCAAAAACTAGGATGCTTTCTGTAAACAATTAGTATTAATAAGCGCTGTTCAACTGGAATTGAGTTGGATTATTTGTTTATAGCAGTGCTTTTCAGCCGACTTACATGTACCTGTATGTATTGCTCAGAGGGGGTGGAAAGAAATTCCTGAACGAAAACAATGTAATAATGAAATGTTAATAAACAAATAAATATAACTTTTCGTATCTTATGTAATTTGTCTCCATTCTGATACCATGTGCATCATTTATTTCTGATACAGTGATACTGAATGAGACCTAAAAACACTTTTTTTTAAAAAATATATCTCCCCTTATGATCCCTGACACAGCCGTTTACTTTCTCCTTCCGTAATTAACGTCAGTCTCCTGCTCTTGACCGCATTTGCCAAGCCACCGTGGGGAAGCCACTAGAAAGAGGTATCCGCGAGTTCGTTTCCCACGATACCCACAATAGGCTCCCGCAGTGAGCTGTACTAGCACCCCCCGCGACAACGGTAAACTGCTCTAATAAATACAAAATGTGTCACTTGTTATTTACTCGTCTTTAGAGCAATCTGTATATATTTGCGTATTGTACACGATTTGTGATTGTGTGGCTTCTTAACTCATCTTTTAATAGGTGGAAAAATACGGAATTTTTCTTTCCATAGTTTCTGCCCCAGATATGCTGATACTAGGTAATTTCAAGATTTCTTTCAAGTAAAGCTAGAATTCGAATTAATTTGCGCATTGTATTCAGTATATATAGAGAGTAAAACTGCTTCTGAAACTCTTCTGCTACTTTGAGTTGCCAAGCCTTTATGTGAGAGTTCTCTAGTTGTTTTCCTAAAAGCCGCATTACAATCTATCAATAAGTAGGAAAAGTACCGCGTGATAATCTAATATTGTACATATCTCGCGATCAGCTGAAACGCACGCCATTACAGGTATGTTGAGCGCGACTAACTGGCCAGTCCTTGTGTTAGAATTTCAATGTGACATGTTTGATTTTAAAGAACGCTTTCATAAAGAGTGCCCTCACCCAGAGCTTAAATTGCGCCGGTACTTCTTAGTTTTTGGAATAAATCCTAATTCGCCGGAGCGCACCCGGAGCCCTAAATAAGAAGGCTCCGGCTCTTCTCTTATGTAACTGAACAAGTTTTCGGGAGAAATTTGATCTCAAAAAATTTTATTTTTAGTAATAAAATTATATCAAAAACCGTTTGTTAAATTTTAATTATTTAATTACTTTAACAATTGATTCTGTAATTGTTCAATAATTAATTATTTAATTATTAATGATTTGATTATATTTTATTTATTTAATTATTGTTGTTCCCCCTTCCCTGACGGTCTTCCACGGAGCTCCTGCATTTCTAATTTTAGAAATTAAGCCCTGCCCGCACCGTTACGCAGCTCAACTGCTATTCAAAAAAGACAAAAATCTCCATAAGGGTGAGTGCTTCCATATGAAAATCAGTTTTTAACATAGATAAATAAAGCTTCATAAGGGGGTGATCAGTCGAGCCTAATAGAAGCGATATATTTGCTTCTACTAGGTAAGAAGACCGAAAAGTCAATGATGGTTTGGTAAAAACTTTTATTTTGTTTTAACTAAGACTTGTGCTTAAGCAGCCTCCTTCAAAGCAATCAACTCTTCTTGCACGATAATATGAAGATCTAATACCATAAGCACAGTTTAGTACAGTCAAAAGTCTTTAATCCGGACTCGTCGGGACTTCGGCAATTCCGGATTATCGGTTTTTCCGGATTATAGATCATCAGTTTAAATCTGGTAAGATAGCATGCAGAAATTATACAATTAAAAATATGAAATCGTAATCTATGAAATAAAGAGCAATTGTGATGTAAAGGGTATCAAAATTTACAAGAAAAAAAAAGCTTAATATTTATTTGTTTACTTTATTAAACATTTCTTTCAACGCGCGCATGCGTAAAGCATACATTACGAATAATCGAAATTAGAAAATTGCAACCAGAAAACTATTGGATGTGTATCAGTGATATTTATAATGACGAAGAAATTGATTTAAATCATATCGGAGTACATCGAGATGAAATACTACATTTAGTAAGGAATTATAAGCCGAATAAAATAAAAACATCTGCCCTGAAGATGAGGATAGTGTTGACAGATAAACTTCCAGTTCATTGCGCGCCGCGACGTTCACCCCACCCCCGCAGAGCAGCGTGAAATTGATAAACAGATTTCGGAATGGTTAGAGAAACAAATCACCTCTCTGTCACTTTCTTCATGCCTTTATCCATTTTTTGGAGCAATTAGACTTTTTGTTTAATGGACATCGAAACATGCTTTCGCTTTGTAGATCCTTTGGCAGCCCCAGAATCGGAAATTCTATTTGACATAATCGAAAGTTCAAGCTTACTTTTATAAAATTGCTCTAACAGTCTGCAAAAAATAATAAGCCTGATCCAATTCGAAGATTAAGGAACAACGCAATCTACAACATTAATTAAAATAGATAATTAGATAATTTTAGCTTAGCTTATACCGTTCGTTATACATTAAACGCGCATGCGTAAACGTATTATGCGCATGCGCAGAAAGTTTGTAGCTTTGAGGTCTGGATTATAAATCATTCCGGATTAAAGACTTTTGACTGTATTCCCTACACTCAGGGAAGCAACTGCAAAACAAAAATAGTTTACTTGATGATAAATTGCAGATTCTAATTTCATAAAAAGTTCTATTTTAATTAATTTAATGCATTAATACATTAAAAAAATATTTTGCATAATACTGCTTAATTCTTGAATTACATCGTTCACAAATATTGAGCTTTTCCTTGTTTTCCGTAATAAATTATTGACTTGCTTCTATTAGGTAAGAAGACCGGAAAGTCAATAATTGGCTTTGTAAAAACTTTTATTTTATTTCAACTAAGACTTGTGCATAAGCAACATCCTTCAATGTAATCAACTCTTCTTGTATGATGATATCAAAATTAAGTACCGTAGCGTAGTTCAGTATTCAGTTAACCATGCTGGTGCATTGAAATATTTAGTGCTTTGTCTTTTTTTGCGCTTCTGATTTTGACTTTTTTAATATTACACTTTTTCCATAAAAAATGATATATTATTAAAAATATTATTGATTCAAAAAGTATATTAAATACTTTTTGAATTTCTTTGTTTATATTTCTCTTATTTATTTTATATTTCTTCCTTTCTATATGACATAGCTTTATATTAGTGTATAATTATCAGTGTATATAATATATAATTATCAGTTTTATAATATTGTTGCGTACGTACGGGTTCGTTATGAAATGAATGCACAAATCCGATGAAAAATGAACAAAAATTTATTATTATCACAACAAAAATGCTTAAATTTTCTCAAATTATCATGCAGTATTACAATATCTCACAGTAGTTATCTTTTAACTACTCAAATGTACAATAGAACGTAATTCATAACAGGTAAAGAACGCTAATCCGCGAATTCGCTATAATCAACAACAGCAGTTTTCTAAACAACAACAAACTAAGCAACTACTACAAACTGAGATGTTTTCCTCCTTTTATAAGATTTTAAAATCACGCGCTAGAATTTTCCAGTACTTTCTCGAAATCAAAAAGAGATATTTATTTATTTAATGCACGCGCTCTTGTATTTTCAATTTTCCGGCTTAGCTTTCTTTTAATATTCGTCATGCGCTGCACTGCGCGAGAAATAAAACCATTTAATTTATAATTGAACTAACATTAGCTTTTTAAATACCAAATTCGTAACAATATTAATATTTTTTTTTGTAATCAATGGTGTATTCATTATGCCAATCAACTGCTGGTGCATATTTGATTAGGGACCCTCAGTTGACCCCGTGATTATAATTGACCTTCTTTAAAATTTCATCTACTCCCGGGGGCATTAAATACCTCGCTGAGAACTCTTGTGATGAACTATTGTATGTTCATACAATAGTACAATGTACTTCACATTTTGAGTAACTTTATCTAAACTTATTTTTAGCTTCATTTTTTTAATCTAATTTTTATTATTTTGTATTAATTTCATTAATTATTTACTATTTAAATTATTTTATTATTTTTAATCAAGAATATTTTACATATACTATGCGTTGTTCTCCGAATCCGAATCCGAACAAGCATGGCTGGAGTAGCGCGCGAAGTCCCGAAATTTGTCGCCCAAACCACTAAAGGTTTCCACGTGACAGTTTCTGTATTTGCAGGAGAAAATGCTGTTTTTTTCCATTATACAGAAAGCGATAGTTGCGCCTCCAATCACAGGTTTACTGTCATAATAAGAATCCCCTTGCCAGCCGTGGAAGCGTAGAGCTTTTGTAACTCATATACTCGGCTTCAACAGTCTTCCATTTGGCTCATATTGGCGCCTTTTTTTTTCGTTGCTGGCGCGCTGTTTGAATAGTTCAATCAAAGCAATTGATGTTCTTTGATCAAGGTAAGCTCTTTGGTTAAATTTTAGCTTAAATAAGGAGAGGTTAGAATGGATACTGTCGGCTGTCTTTGATTGCAGATCTTCTAGCGAAGTAAGAATAGAAATCTAAGTTCATTAAGAAAATTATGCATATTTACTACTGCGTTTGCATTTAAATTTTTTTCCCATTGCCTGTAAAGTAATTACTGTTATTATCAAAGAATTTCTAAGGAGAATCTCCTTAGAGATTCTTTGGTTATTATTTTCTTGTGCCAGCTTATTTTCCTTATATATCTTTTAATGTCTTTTTTTAGCAGAAACCTCATTCTCTTATTTATAATTCCGTTTGAAATGTACCATTTTAATATAATTTCATGATTTTTATGTTTCAGTGTTTTAATGATAGCTCTATTTGCTAGTTACCATATTAAGTTTTTATTCTATTTACATGCTAATTTTGTTTTTTTTTCTTTCTTCGTTAGACGATGTCTGAATTCAGACAGAAAATGAATTTAGTTCATTTATTACTCATCATATGCCCTATTTGTTACGCAACGCCCTACTGTTGTCAACGGCCATATGAATATACAGACTTTTTTGCGAAGCTAGAATGTAATTTATTCATTTGTAAATATATAAAAGTATGTAAAATAATGATCATTCACATATTTATTCTTTGCTTGACATTATGTTTATACAACAGTTACTTAATAGAAAATATCATTTAAAATTATCCCAATTTTTGTTTAATTTGTAATGAAATAGTTTTATGTTAAATAGCTGGTTCAGTTTTAAAATATTAGAAATTTTTTTATTATTTGAGCCTTCATTATAGACAGTATAATAATTTCTATGTGTTCTATAATCAGTTATTTGTTTTATCTTATTTGACTAATTGCATACTATGGAAAATTTCAAAACAACTTTATGCATGAAATTGCTCCAATTTGGGGTTTTCATCCGCGAGAACCCGTTGACGCCGTTGCATTTTTACTCGCCAAGCTCGCGGTTCATCGAAGATGAGCCGAGCCGTAAGCGTGATATTTATTATTTTGTAAACGTGATTTTTAGTGCATGTAAATTCAAGTTAGCAGCAAAACAATATATTAAGCATATGGTAGTAACAATTCACAGATAATATGCATGTAGATGTAAAACTAACCGGTTAAACGTGATATACGGAAATAAATTTGTATTAAATTCAAGCACAGAAAAGAATATATTAAGCATAAGACAATATATAAGCATTTATAACGGAAATAAAAAATATAAATTAGTATTAATGTACTGAAATAACCCGGTTAAACGTGATAAACGAAAAAAATTTGTCTTTTAATTCCAGTTAACACGGAAAACAATATATTCCTTACAGCAGCAGTGGTTTGCTAATTCCTGATGACCATGGTGATGCATCAAACTACCCTCTCATCTTAGATAATCAATCATATTTTTTATTTCAATTTAATCATCTATTTATGTCACACCTGCCATCCTCTGAAAGGTTATTGTTAGAAAAGCATTAACAAGATATTATCTTGTTAAAATTTTACGCCATAAAAATTGATTTATTCTCGTAATTTTAGATGACAATAACCAATAATAAAAATAAAAGCATTACTTAATTACTTAAAATGCACATGCATATTTTTGCGGCCTACGAAAACAAATTACTTTAGGGGTTAAAAACCTCATAGTTCTGCATGCTTACAGCTGTTAATAATTAAGAACACAACGTGAACAGCCGTGTTACAAATTAGCATTCACCCCTCCCGCCGTATTTTCTTCCTTTCATCCCGAAACGAGAACCGGCATCTATCTACGAAAATATTTCTATCTATTCGTTGTTAAAAAATTCAGAAAAAATAACAAATAAGAGAAGAATAATATAAATCTGGAAATGCGAACAACGACAGTGATAATTCAACAAAGTGAACGCAAGGGGAAAGGTTGCAAACTTCGAACAAGCGAATAGGATAAATCCTATGGGTTCCCAGGTTGAACTATTATCGCCAAAGTTGGCGATGTTTACATTTACCAGGTTCTCTGCGGAAGTGCTTCCCAAATTTGTTTTCTTTATTATGTGAAAATTATGTATACTTTCTTCTTCACAATTTTTGTATATACAGAATTTGTATGCTGAATTTTAATCTTTTCACTTTTTTTAATAATAATTCAGTAAAATTGAATGTGCACATAATAGTTTCTCATAAATTAAAAAAAAAATAACATAACAATAAATATATGCTAAGTAAAACATTAAAAAAGTTTTCCTGCTTATGTAAAACCAGGCACATTAAAATACTAGATCACATGCAGTAAAATGTAAAAAAAGGAATATTTGTTTTAACTAATAATTTATTATTATGATAGCATATTGATGAATTGTAAGAATTTAATTATATTTAGTATTATTAAAAGAATTCTGAGATTTTATTTTATTTCATTAATAAAAAGTATTAATTTTTACAATGTTTTTGAGCATAGTCTTGAATTCCTCTAAAAAGAAATTCTGTATTACTATTAAATTTCTGTAATAAGTTTGCATATCTTGTAAGATGTGTCTCAGCTATGCTTTTGATTGATTAATTATCACTCTGCATATCTACCACTCTTCAAATAATTTCAGTTACTTAATTTGTTGGACTATATATATATATATATATATTTATGAAATAGTTTTCTAATTATTTTGTGTATTTATATTTATTTCAGGAAGATCCTGGATCTAAATGTTGTGAAGGTTCAAGCAAAAAAATTAGTAAAAATAACACAGATACATGTAAGTTTAATACTATTACTCTATTTTTAATAAAAAAATTTTATTGAGAAGAACTCGGTGAAATGAATAACAAAGTAAACCTTGGAAAATTATGGATAAGTTTATTAAATATCATAACCTTATAATTAAGTTTATGCATCTCTCAAAATGTTTACATTAACTGTATTTATAAACTTAAGCTTGGCAGTTAAGCTTAATTTATACAGCAAGCTTTCAATGCTAACATATGCTATATATATATATAAGCTTTCAATGAAACATACTACTATTTAAAGTTTATATTTGATATTTTTTGTTGCAGTGTTTTTTTAACTGAGATTAAAATTTTTTAAAATTTAAACTTTAAAAAAATCCTTATGAATTAAGAGAAGTTGGGATATTAAGATGGATGTTTTAAGCATAAGTTTTGAGTAAGAAACTGAGGAAGGAAAAGAGCATTCCTTTGCATTAGTACATTAGGATAAAAAAACAAACTTTATAAATATTGTTTTGATTTTTTCCCTTATTTCTTCCATTCCCTATGCTTATTAATCTGAAATACATAAAATTTTTGAAATAATATCTAGACCAGTTTCTATATTATAACTATCATAGCAGTTTTTTTCATTCTAAAACTAAAATTCTCTTTTAAAGCCAGTATATATACATGTTTTAAGAATAGCTTTTGTGATGATAAAAGAAAACTTTTCCTTAAAAATGATTTAATTCTGAACAAGAATGTATAATTTTTAGCAGTTTAATTTTTGCTTAAGACAGTGTAATTCATATGAATCCTCATTTATTCAAAATTCTAAACGAAACTTCAAGAAACATATGAAAGATACCTAGTATTTTTCCTATGTTTCTTGAAGTTGTTTCAGCAAGTACTTTGGACTGTATTAATAAAATCATGTACAGACAGAATAAAGGATTTTTTTTCAAAATGGATTCAGAAGATATTTCTTTCGTGACGTCTGTATGCAAGAAACGTAATGCGGAATACATATACACATGCAAATCTTTTTCTTTGTTTTTGTAAAATCATTTCAACACATGATCACCAAAGCTTTCTTACAAATATAATTTAATGGCTACTTTTAATCAGTGACAGCATTTCTCAGTTAGAGACCATTCTTGTTTATTTCATAAAACTAATCCAGCATTTCATTTTAGTAAACAACGTCAGTATTTATTGCATTTGAGTAGCTATATTGCAGTTTGTCTGTATATTAGTCCATTGGGTAATATACAGCTACCATCCGTCTTGGTTTTGTTGGAATATTCCTGACTTTTATCGCATTTCTTCATTTATTGAATCTCTCAGATTTTAATTTTTGGCTTTTACTAAAGAAAATGCTTCATCACAAGAAATGAAACTTAAGTTATGCGAATTCCATTTTCCCTTCCATAGCAAGTTTCAGCATATTTTTTTCCTATTAAATTTTATTTGATCTGAACTGTTTTAGTATGCTGTAGATATTTGGGTTAGAGTAGATTGAAGGGTGCCCCATGTTTAATCACTTGATCCTTGTATTCAGTGTTATTTTACTTTTATTAGTATATTTATCCACACAATAGCATTTACATTAATTATTAATTTTATTTTCATTTTATTAAAAGTACTTTTAAAGTAAAGATTACTAAAAACTTTCTTACTTAGAATTTTCTTTGTATGAAAGTGTTAAAAAAATAGCCAAAAAGTAGAAAATTTAGAATATATAATTAAATATTAATATATTTTACATCAAAATTGCATTATAAATAGTTCAATAGCCTGAAACATGCATTATAAGATGGATTTAAGTTGCTTTTGAAACAGGATCACTGCACAGTTTGGAAACCTTCCAAAATTTTCCATGTTTTCATTTAAGAACCTTCCATCTTTCAAAGCTGGCAGCTGTAGTAATAGTGTTGAACTCTTAATTTCTCACTCCACAGGTGTTTTGATTCTGGCTTATCGGGGGGAAGAAGTCTTTATCAATAGAAACATTTCTTGAGACTATGCCTAATGGACTGTTTATAATATAACCAGTGTACAGCTATTTCAGTAACTATTAGCTTGTCAAGTAAAGCAACAGTTTAGCTTCTCACATTGTAGTTTAGGTATAATTTTAATCTCATGTTTAGCACTAGATTGTTTGAAATTAATGACAAGACAAATTTTTAAACAGTGTTTAATTTTTTTTTTTTTTTTCAGTGTGTGCAGCATATCTTCAAAACTGTAAGAATGTGTAGGGGCAAATAAATATAATTTCATTGATAGTTTTTAGTTAAATTCCTTACATGACCTAAAAATGAAAAAAAAGAAAAAAAAATATATATATATAATTTTTAATAAAATTATTTTAAAAGCATCTTTTTTAATTGAAGAAACTGAGGAATAATTATCTATATTAATGAAATACATAACTTTTTTTTTTAATTTGTGGACAAAATTTAAGCTGACATAAAAGCTGATATTTTATGAAAAAGTTAACAAACTACCCAAGATCTGTTTATACTCTATTGTAGAAACATATATAAATCAAGCTGCATCTAGTTTTTTTAATTTAAGATGTCAGGACATTGTTCATCCACATTATGCAAGTTGGATTTTCCACTGTTAAACTAGCCTAGAAATATCAGAGATGTGAAACATATAGATAAATACCTCAAAGATTATTTATTTCTTATTTAAGATATTGATCTGAATTATCTATTTTAATTGTTTTAAAAGCACTTTTATTGGAAAAAGTATGATGTTACATAAATGTTTTATAATACATAATCTGAAATTTTATTATCTGAATTCCAGATGAAAATATCTTCCAAATTACAAAGCCTCATTTGATCTGTCAGACTCTGGAAAGAAGACAAAGGACTTTGACTGGCCACATATTGCTCTCTTGGTCTGTACTTAAAGTGACAGAAACATCTCCAATTTTTGCAATAGAGTCAAGGCATACAAATGATGACAACTGGCATTTGATTGGAATGGTATATTTTTTGCTTATTTAATAGCTCAATCTCATTATTTGGGAAATCAATCTAATTTCATCTTTTTTTCAGGCCAATGAAACAGTAGCAGAGATAAGAAACCTCACTCTTGGAGAAAAATACCAATTTCAAGTGACTCCTCTTATGTCCAGTGATTTGATATTACAGCCTGTAAAGTCAGAATGGTTTACAATACCTGGTATTCTACTTTTTTTCTCTATGAAATGCAGGTGATAGATAAACAACTTATTATTATATTCCTTTAATAAATTAAATTAAATTTACCTCTTTTTGTACTAAATCATTCTTTGAATTCTATGTTGCACACAATCAAAATCTAATGCCAGATCTTAAAATATTTCCCTTTGTTTAGATTCCATTATCAAAATATAATTTGTCTTTAATTTTGATGCAATGTCAAGAACTTAGCTTCAGAACTTCATTATTACAAAGTTGCAATTTAAGCTCTAAGGCTAAAACAAGTGATCAGAATTTTATTCACGTTGCATAATTGGAGTTCCAACTCACCCAGTTAAGCTGGGAGACACCCAGTATTTTAGCACATCTCCAGAGCTTTCAGAAAATCACCAGATATTCTGGTTTTGATTTGTCTTAATCAATTAATCTCTTTTAAAATAATTCTATAAAGGAGGTGTTGATTACTAAGTTTTGAAGCAAAAAGAAATGCTATAAAATATCTGAGCTTTAGATTTTAAAAAAATAGTTCAAGCAATATCATTGTCATTTCTAGTGAAATGTATATTGCACAAATTTTTTTTTTCCGAAGTAATTTTTCAGCATATTTGTTCTGATTTTTATTTGATCTAAACCATGTTTACCCATTATAGAAACTGCCAGTATATTTTAAGAAGGGGTAACTGATGTTTCTTAGGTACTAAGAAGTACCTAAGAATGAAGATATTCTTCTTTGAGAATTTATGAATTGAACATATTCTTCTTAGGTACTATGAAGACCTACATTTTGATTGTATTCTTAGGTACTAAGTTTTCAAATTTTTGCCTCCATTTTACCTTTAATAAATGTGTATATTTAAATAGTCTATGTAATTTTTATTGATTAAAATTAATTAGGAAAATAAAGTTACAGTTAATAAATTAATTAGTGAAATGTAACAAAAGCTACAGTTAACGAACAAGTTAGTGAAATGTAACAACAGATAGAGATAACTTGTATGTTTTATCATAATCAATTATCCATCTGCTTGTAAAATATATTTGATAATTTTCATCTTTAAATGAAACGAGAGAAGGTCCTGAAAATATTTTCTGTGTTTCTCTTATTTTGATATCTTTGCTTCTGAAATCAAACATTTTTTTTTAATATTCCTTACAGAAATTATTCAAGTCATTTTTAAAAAAGCCTTATATTTTAATTGCACTTTAAAATGGTTTGCTTCAAAAAATTGTATAATGTAATATTTCAATTGTTTGTTCTGTTTTCCTAAAATTTTAATAACTATTTTTGATCTGAAATAATATTTTAAATGATTTTTTGAAAAATTCAGAAATGAATATACATTTTGTTTCGATGAAAATAAATGTCTTGAATTTATAAAGCAAGACTGAAAAATTTTGAAGTCAGTTTCAAATATATTTCTTTAAACATAAGGTAAAACTTAAAAACAATAAATGGGATTATTATGTTAAGCTTATTTGCACAAAAATGAGTTTATATCTTAATACTGAAATATTGCTATTGTTTGGAATCGAAAAAGCAAATGGACTCTCATGCTCTCCTTACTGTAGAAAATCAAATATATAGTTTAATATTCAAGAATTTAAAAAAATTATTTTTAAGATTTAAAGCTATTTCTTACAAAGTTTATAAATATTTATACCTAAAATTAGTTCAAAATTTATTTACGTTATTCTATGTATCTCTTGTAGTTGATTATTTTATTAAGTTTATTTTCTCCCCCCTTCCCAGCTATAGGATCCACCATAAGTGCACCTGTAAATGTACATATATCTAGGTTTTCTTTGGTAGATAAACGTGTTAATGCTTTTGTGGAATGGAAACCATCTAAAGGTTAGCCAATTGGTTCCTACTATCTGCATTTTACTAGAAAATATTTTCAATTATTTTAATTTTCTAATACTTTCTTTTGTATTGCAGAATTGCCTTGTGTATACAGACTGTATTCGTTACCTTCAGATGATCATGAAAATTATGTTCAAAAAACAATATACTTGGTAATATAATACATTAAAATTTATTTTCTCCCTTTTGAATATTTACGCATATGATCTTTTGGCCACTACTATTATTCTTATTTTTGAAATTTTAGCCTAAAGATAACTTGACTGCAGATTTGGTTAGTTTGCCATTTGAGACAAACTATACACTTGTAGTAACTGGATTGGAAATGAGTGGCATACGAAGAGCCGAGAAAAATGAGAGATGGTTTGCTACACCATCATGCCTTAAGCTGAATGAAGGAAACTTCAGCCTTTGTGGTAAAATATAATACTTATTAAAGCCCACTTTTCCTATCATTATTAATAGCTGATTAACATGTTGACGGCGGCACGGATATTCATTGTTCTTTTCATGCGGTGGCATTTGAATTAGTGGTCCATTTCTTGGTCCATCTATTTTGTGAAACCCCCTAGTGAAGTAATAATAACAAAAAAGAAAAAACATTTTTTAAATTCGTATGAAGGATCCGTGAGGAAGAGGAGAAAGCGATGCAAAGAATGCTCAGCAAGCCTAAATGGTACTCAGTATGCCATGAAAAGAGCAAAGAAAGTAATAAAATATGGTGATAATTGTAAGGGCAAGCCAGCACTTTGTTTAGCTTGCTTAAAAAATTGCATGGAAAAAATTAATAATTATATTGAAAAATTACATTTTAATTTATTTCTTTTGTATTGAACGTTTGATTATAATGTTGAAATGTTAATGTATACTGTTGAATAATTAAAATAAAATAAAATTTTGTACTACGTATTTTTTGATATAAAAGTGTGACCGATTGCCACTTGTATGATGCACGCCGTGGAACAATCAAGCAGCCCCACAGAACAGACAAGCATAACCCATTGGTGGGTCAGGCCAGGATGAATGTGTTAAAATAGTATTTATCATATCAGTTTAATAAACTGAACTTCTTGATCATTAGAATCTACTTATAATAGCATTAAATTTTTGTGTTTAATATTTTAAAGTTTTATTATTTAAAAGTCAAAAGTTCTTTCTTAAAGATTTGTATTAAGAACTGCACAATCAATAATTTTCCCTTTCGTTACTACTGTTTTAACAATGATTAACTTACTTGTATAAACTATGATAAGTTAGAGGAGTTTACGATTAAAGTATTTCTTCAGAGAAAAGGAAGTCATATCTTTTTTTTTTTTTTTATTTTTAGTTAAATATTACTCAACCAAATGGCAAATTGTTTCAAACAATTTTTGGTTAAATCAAATTGGAAGCAAAGTGCTCAATGTAGAATTAAAAAATTTTGTTAAATACTTTACAATAGCAATAAAACTTCTTTCAACACCACCATTGAATGTAATTAAGAGACTTAATGTGTAATATGCAAATTCATAAAATTCTGATGATTAGGGCCTTAAATCTTTTTCACTGTATATATATATATATATATATATATTACTAACTTAAGTTGTATGTTTCAGTACAAATTTTATAAATGTTTTCTGTATTATTTTGTTTGATGAATACATAGATTTCTTATGAATAATCAGTTGCACATTTTAAATTTTAAGTACACTGACGACTGAGTGTCGATTGATTTGATATCCGAAGTTATTTGTTTGAAAAATGGATTAAAATTCAAATATGTATAAAGTTACTTAACATCTAATTTGAAACAGACAAAATATAAGGCATGGAAATCTATAATGGTTTTTACTAATGAAGATCATATTTGTAATGCTGAATATTTCATATTTGTATTTTTTGACTACCTATCATTATAATTCAATTTCATTTCATAATTTCCAATGTATGAATTCACAATTTGGTGCTTTTGAGGAAATGTATAAGCTTAGAGTAGAGGAAGCATTTAACATTGTTACAAATTTTGTACATTTTAGAGCAGTTTTATGTGAAATAGTTGTATTTTTCTGTGTAATGTAGCATAAAAAATCTAGAGAGATAAGCTATATCAAAAAAGTAAGAATACAGGGGAAGTCTATTTAACATTGAGTAAATGAGTGTCTTGGCAATTAGGGGAGATATCGCCAAAACTGCCAACAGTTTTGACGACCAAAATGTCACCACATGGTCGCCAAAACTAAACTGTTGCCAGTTTTGGTGACCATTAGGGTACCTATATCACCATAATAGTATTGTAACTGAATAAATGTAATTGATCACTAGCTGTAACCGTAATTCAACCCTCATATTCCAGAAATTTCAAGAAACATGAAGTACTAGAAAATCTTGGTAGCCAGATGAATACTATGTAAGGCCAGAGAGAGCATTTGCTCTCAGTTGTTATTGTTAGCTGTTAGTTCAGCATGAGTTTGGAATATAGCTTCATTCTGTAGCTGCAGTTTGCACTGCATTGTGTATAACATGCTTAGCAGTTTGAAGTGTGACTACTGATTGTACTCTGTGATACTGTGAACAACTGTACGAGTATTTCTGTGGACAATTCCAGAACTCTGAAATATTTCTTTTGATAAAATTAATTTAGACGCATCACACCTGTATCCGTTCAATCTATATTGAACTCATACCCATGCAACAATATAGTAGGTATTTCTCTTGGACCATATTATTTTAAAATATCAAGCAGTGTTTATTGCAGTGATTTTGCACTACATTTTAATTCATTGTCCAGCTATAGCATTCATTGTCCAGTATTAGGTTTAGCTGATAAGGACAAAAGATTGAGTTGTTAGAACCTCTTACTGAATTACTTATTATCGTTTGACAGTCTTGGTTCTGAAGGCACAACATGCATAAAGTTCCTATCTTAATCCTTTCATGTGGGTAGTATGGTGGGCAAATCTCTTTCATTGGTGGGCAATCTCTTTTCTCTTTCAAGCTTTAATTAAAATAGATGAGTTTAATGCATTCTGAAAAAATATTTCTTTTATGTAAGCAATACATTATCTTATTATTATCTAGGACATTATTTTATTGCAAGAAGATATAAAATTCGGAATCGGATCTTGGCCCACTAGGGTCTCTATTGCCAAAGTTACTGAACACTGTTAATTTGACCTGAGTTCAATTCCAGGTGAAACAGGTTGACTGCATTGACATTGTCATGGTTTTCTCCACATGTAACATGGATAAAGCCAGTTAGCTTTAGAAAATCCACCACAAAGGCATTCCTGCCCTTAAGCAGATACCCCTCACATTCCTTGTCATAATAAAATAAACCAATCTAAATCAAATAAGATCAGAATAAGATTTATTGATGTAACTTAGTATATATTTAAAAACAGAACATTTTCATCTAGTTATTTTTTACATTAAAATACTAGGTGATTTTGTTGCAAAATTATTTCACTTTAGTGATTAGTTTCCTTTTGCTAAAATTTTATTTTTAACATGAAAATTCATGCAATTCTTTAGAGAAAATGATGTAGTAATTATGTTTTTTCATTTTTAAAAAAAAATTAAAATTGTGATTTCATAGAATTTCCATTGAATGTATCCATTTTTAATGCAGTTTTTCAAATTTAATAAATATGCAATACAAAAAGTTTGAAAAATATTTTCTTTTAGCTCCTGGGTTTCCTCAAAACTTTACTGCTGACTGGTATCCAATTACATCTGAAGCTGTGCTGCACTGGTTACCTCCCAAATATACTTCTAAAAGGAATCCAGTAAAATATTACTATCTTTCAGTTTCTGAACTTGTTGGGCTACTACAAATAAAACAGCATATGTATTCTCTAGTTTTAGACTATGTGAGTCACTTCTATATTTTACTCTTTTCGTATGTGTTGAAAAGTAAAAAAATTATGAAGGGGAAGGAAATTTTATTCAATAATACATTTTTTAATATAGCTCAGTGTTTGGTTGCTGTAATTTGAATATTCTTGAACATGCAACAAAGTATATGTCTAATAGTAAAGAGAATTAATGTTCTCTGCAGTGTTGCATTTGCTGCAAATATATTTTATTTTAAATATTAAGTACTTATTCAAATATCAAGTGCAACAAATGTTAGCTGTTTTCATTATTTAAAAATTTGTCTGATAATTTAAATGAATGTAATTAATTAATGTACTTCTCTTTGCACACATTGCACAGAAAGGGGAAAAAGTACTACCTGCACATTTAAGGAAATAAGCACAAAATGTAATGAGTAATAAATTGTAATAAATGCCAGGAGCTACCAGTGGTTAAAGCTGCAAAACACTCATAGTTCATTAGCAATAGCTTAGCTAGTGACTACATGATACTTCTGTAGTTTTCCATGTGTGTTCTTAAAATATTTACCAGTTTTCCTACAAAGTCTAGAAGTTCCCTGCAGAAGGAATAAATCCATTCTATTGTCAGATAATCCAAGTATGATTTACTACATCAAATAACATTACTTAATCTATAAACTTAAGAATTCCAATTTGTTTCTTTTTGTGTTTGATTTGCAAGTTACTCAAGTTTGTATGTGTAAATTACTCATTGCTTTGAATTCCTGATCATTTGACATCTTGAGCACAATGTAGTCAATAATTTTCAGTATTAACTTATCAGGACTGGATTCAGAAATGTATGTATGTATGCATGTGCGTGTATACATATACATAAATATGTACATGAAATACTTGAAAACTCATATTCGTACATACATGCATACATACATTTCTGAATCTGGTCTCGATAACAGAAGAGTACCTAATTTACCTATAAAGTTATAATATTTAGGTGCAGTTCACCATTTCCTTCATAATATTTTCCCACAAATATGATATAAAAATGATTCAAATTGCAGAGAGATATTTTTTGGACTATGTTACTTTTCCTCAAAATATATAAAGATTTGACTGTCTAGTGTTTATAAACTGAATGTCCTTATAAAGGTAAATATCCTGATCATGTGCAAGTGTTACTTTTTTAATTACTTAAATGGTATGGATATAATATAATTAAAGTGGTATAATTTTTAATATATGTTTAATTGTGATAAGCATAAAATTTTAAATGGCAATAACAGAAAAAATACCATTGATTACACATTGTTCAACATTTAGAAATTGAGCCATTGTCAGGCATGACTAGGTTTAGCTAGAAGTTTAACCACAGTCCTAATAATTTGGAAGGAATTGGAGGAGGTTGAGTCAAAATGATTTACTTAGTGAATAATTTTTCATTGTGAATAGGTTTACATTAGATGTTTAGGTAAGACATGTGTCAAGACAATAATAATTCATGGTATTGACTATTTTCAGTTTAAAATCAGTTTAAACATTTATTAGTGCTGCCATCTGTTAGGTCTATTAAAGAGTACACAATTTATAATAAATGTAATAGCAGACAACTAAAAACTAGGGGTTGTGTAGATTTCAGAATTTTGTATTTGATTTTAAAATTAAGAATATGAGAAAATTTAATAGACTGAAAATAAATAAAATCAAATAGAGGAAAACACATGAAAGCAATTTTTATTTATTATTTTTTTTTTGTGTTTTCAGAAAGCAAAACAAACACAAAAGCATATAAAGAGGCACCTAAACACTAGTTTTTGTATTTTTCAAGTCTGTTTTGTAGTAATGTTTTAAAACTTTAAGATTTTAGCTTGAGTCATACCTTCCTCTGAACAAATTATATACAATCATTACTTCCTGGTAAAATTATTTTTAGCCCTGAACTTTATTTTTCTAAATGTTTTAAATATTTTCCTTCATAACACATCTTTTATTATTCTTTAGATCAGTATTTCTCAACCGCTCGTCCACGAAATATCCTGCTATCTGTCCAAATTCCAAAGTGTCATTGCCCAACAACCAATATTACAATAGCACCTACATTACAATAACAATAATTTACCAGTTTAGTATTTATTTATGTTATGCGGAAAAATTCTGCCAATGGGTCGAATTATTAACCTACTGGTCCGCGAGAACGTACTGAAATATTTTACTGTTCTTTGGAGTAAATCCATTTGAGAAACATTGTTCTAGATCATCACTATCAGAATTAGCTCTTTTCTTTGTCAATGATATCATTAACTACCTTATATTTAAATATGTTCAGATTTCTAACCCAATGCATAGTATTGTCTTCCTGAAAAACTTGTTCATTTTACATCGTCTCTCAGCAGAAAGAACAGTGTGTTAGCTTTAACCTTTTAATCTCTAGATCCAAAACATTCATCTGCATTACATTTTATTTCAATAAAAAATGAATACAACACATTAACTTATCATACAGTCATCAAGGCAGACTTGAAAATGGAAGTTTTAAACATAAAAGTTATGCAATTTCATGACTTTATAGCCTGTGAACTCTGTTGTTTGTATATGGGGGACTTTTTAATTTTCAGCTAATGGTAGATTTTAAGGTGGCTGGTATTTTTTTACCATGGTATTACTCTATTTCTTACCTTTTGAGAAGATGTCATAAATAATGCATAAGTGCAAAAAATTCCATTATACAGTCCTACCTCTTCTGTAAAAATCGCAAATAGTGCATTATTGCAAAAAAAAAAGTAAAATATTAAAAAAAAGTATATGTAAGTATGTATAGTATATTTATAATGAATTATAACTTGAAAATCTTCAAATATAAAATTAAAACAATTATACCGTAGGTTAAAATAACTCTCTACTCTGGTTAAAATAACAATATCTGCAGTAGCATGAAATTTTTAATGTTATAGCATTTTTAAATGAAATAGTCATGATTATATATAGTGAATTAAATTCCTTTCCATAAATGGAAACCTTGCTTCACATTTTTAATTTTCTAGGATGGAGAAAAATTATTTTAATAGTTATTTACAGCATCAAGCATTAAAAGAACCCACTTTTATTAGCATTAATAATGCTACATGTTCTTGATGTTATTTTTAAATTCAGTAGTCCAAATATTTTTTTTTTTTTTTTTTTTGTGAATAAATGCTTTTTCTTTACAGTTTTTAAGGGGAAAATAGGTTTCTTGAATTCATTGCCTTTTTTTGTAGCATGCTGTATTAAAAATATTTGCTAACAATTTTTATAATGCTATGTTAATAATGAATGAAAAGTTATTCACTAGTTATCTTTTGGGGAAAAAAATTTTAATGCTTTTATGGCAATATGTTATTTGAGGTAAATTTTTTAATGTATATGTATTGTTATTCCTAAAATTATATGTACAAGTATTATATTATTTTGTTATAAATTTCGGGAAACTAAATGCATTATTTGAAGTTTGTAACATACTGATATAATTTTCTTTCTAGTGGCATTTAAACACCACAATTTCTGGTCTCAAGTATAATTCACGTTATGTCTTTGAACTAAAAGCTGTGAGTGTAGGAGGAAGTGGAAAATCTACTGTGGTTAAATTGCTCACAAGAAGTAAGAAGGTTTTTTTATTGATTGAAATATAAAATTAAAAAAATTGTTTTAAGTTGAAAAAAATTAAAAGTAGGCAGAAGAAATTCTAAAATAGCCAAAAATGTTGAATTTTCATTTAATTGGAATGGTACTTTCTGATTATCTGCATTTTTGGCTCCAGCATTCGGATAGTCTGCTATGCTTTTGGTGTGTATTCAAGTAAACTTTAAACTAGTAAACAAACTTGTATTTGGCATAGATTTAGACAAAAGACTCAATCGATTTCAAGGGTATACAGGACCTTCTTCATCACAAGCAAAGAAATTTGCAAGATTGGAAAGCAGCTTGTGTCTTATATCTTAACTTTGGGTAAGAGGCAATTGGCCTATTGCGGCCTTTACCAATATATTATTTTTGACTTTTTTAAATCTTGAGATTCAAGGGAGTTGAATCCACTAAAATAGAAAGTACTTGTACACGTACTGTGCTAGAACTCGGAGATTTTTAATGGAGGTTCCAGTGCCGCCATCTGTTGAGATAAGTAAACTTAGAAGATATGAGGGTGCTCATGTGGCCCCATCTGTTTTTGGAAATGAGAAGCTTCTTAGTAGACTGGTGCTCCGGTGGCGCCATCTCTTGTACGTTGCATCTAGAGGCATTTTTGAAAAACTTTTCATACTGTTCTTTGGATAAGCAATTATTGGCAAGTGATTATATGATGAAATAGCATAGTTTATCACAGTAGAAAACGGTTCATAAGAATAAAACTATATACACACCAAAGTTTATACCTACTTTGGCAGGGAAAAAGTCCGTAGCGCTTTATAAAGTAATGCAGTAAGATGAAAAGTAAAAATAATATTAAAATAAAACTTGGTAAATAAGTAAAGAACAAAAAATATATATACAATTACCACCAACTATTGTGATGAATAGTACAGGGTCTTTTGTGGCATTGTTCTACTGTGTAATCATAATTTCCGAGTTTTTTAATAATATTTTCAGGATGATTGTCGTACTTTGTAAAGAAGTTATGAGATAATTTTAAAATTTCTAAATCTGTTAGTTTGATTTTCAAGTCGTGCAAGTAAAGGTGCTATTCTTCATAAACCAGGGTGCATTTGTATTTATTCGAATTGGCTTGTTTTGAATCTTTTGAATTTTTGTGGAGTTCTTGAAGTAGCAGCCTAAGCTGGAGATGTATAAAGAAGAATGGGATGTATTGCCTGAAGATAAATTACTCTTTTTGTTGCTAAACTAAGGTTAGGATTTTTTTCTATGAGTACATAAACACTTCCTATTGCTTGATTAGTTTTTTTGCATGTATTTTCAACGTGATCTTTGAATGTGAGTTTTTGGTAGAGATAAACTCCTAAATACTTGATGCATTTTTCATTGGGAGATAGGGATGTTATTGATGATAATACTATTGAGATGTCTTCTAGGATTCTTTTGAAAATAAACTGTAGTTGATTTGCTTTCGTTAATTTTAATTTTCCATGCACTGAATTATGGGAAAATATAATCTATTGCATTTTGTAAGTTTTGAACAGCTCTTTTAGGGTTGAGGGACTTGCTGAGAATGGCAGGCATCTTTGTGGCTAGGAAGATCGTTTATATACATACTAAAGAGAAAAGACGAAAAATTCGAGCTCTGAGGGACATCTGCATTCATATAACTGATATTTGAGAGTTCATTCTTAATATGAACTTGAAAAGTTCTGTTTATCAAAACACTAGGAATTGGAAGGATTAGTCCAGGTGGAAAATTGTTGCCGATAAGTTTGATAAGGAGGCTTGGGTGCCAAACCTTATCAAATGCTTTCTCGATATCAATAAAGATGCCAGCAACCGTTTCTTTTTTATTGAAGGCCTCACCGATAATTTCTGTGACACGAGTCACTTGGTGGGTAGATTAAATCCATGCCTGAATCCAAACTGATGTTCCTTAATTATATAGTTGTCTTCTGCGAATTTTGTAAGTCTGTTGATAACCAATTTCTGAAATAATTTTCCCAATTGCTAAATGCAAACTGATGGGTATGTAATCTGAGTTGGAAGTTCCGTTTTTCCCAGGTTTCTTTAAGACTATTATAATGGCATGCTTCCATTGCTTAGGAGCATTGTAGGCAAGCATTGAAGATGTAATAAAGTTGAAGGATGGCTTTTCTTGGAAAATTTTGAATGGTCTTATTGCTAATTTGATCAAATCCTGATGCTTTCCTTGGTTTTAATTTTCTTATTAATTCTGTAATTTCCTTTGGGAGAGGTGGATGGGTTGGTCTGATTCTTAAGTTCTTCTAACTGCTGAGTCACGTGGTCAATCACTGTCAAATCATTTGCATTAACAAAATAATTGACAGTGAATTGTTTTTCATATGCATTGGCAAAAGCATTTGCAATATCTTTAGGATTGGTAAATACTTGATTATTAACAGTAATAGGTTTGATATCATTATTATTTCTTTTAATAGCTTTAGCAATTTTCCAAACTGTCCAAACTATTTGTATGTGAGAGACTGCTTATAAAGTTGTTCCAACTGTCATCTTTATATTCTTTGATCAGATTATTTACAGTTCTGTTAGCTTGATTGAAGTTGAGTTTATTGAATGAGTCTTAACATTCTATGATAAATGTTTTTCAGCCTGTTCTTTTCTTTTTTCTTGTTAAAGGATGTGCGCTCAGAAGGTGAATTTTTCAGGGTGAATGGCAGATTTAGGCTTAAGTGCTTCGTGAATGTTATTAGTAAATTTCTCTATTGTATCTTCAATATCTTGAGGGGTATTTAAGTTTCTATTGATAATAGTGTCCTCTTGTGTAAGGTAACTGAAGTCTTCCCAATTTATTTTGCTATTAAGTGGAGGAAGTCAATAGCTTAACCCATAAAAGGTAAAACGTACAGCAGGGTTCGTACGGTTCTTAAGAGTCCTTAAAAGTCCTTAGAGATTTTTTTGGAATTGATTTTTGGTCCTTAAAAGTCCTTAATTTTGGCCAAAATCAGCAGAAGATCCTTAATTTTAATCATCTGAAATTTCTGTCTGTTTTACGACTGCCATTTTGAGCGTGAATTAGCATTTTGGAAGAATATTTTTGGCGATTCACTGACATATATGGTTATCTTTTGAATGGGTTCATGGGTTATTTGTTTCTATTTCTAATATAAATGATGGGATACTCGAGTTTCAAGCAAGAAGTGAAACATAAGCATTTTGAAATTCATTTTTTCTAATAAAGAGCTCTTAAACAACTTTTTTGGAGATGTGAATTCTTTTATTAAACGATTCAAAATTTGGCGACTTATCAACATTTTGGTGATTTTAAGATCAATTTGTATGGAAAATTTTTAATTCAGAGATCTGAGAATTTTTCGACAATTTTTTTTAAACATTGATAAATTTCATTAAAATAATGGTAATATATTGAAATTATATTTAAAAAATAACATTAAAATAAAACATTTTTATTTTTCACTGTCATAGTATAAAGTTTCATTTTGGCAACTTATTATAAGATATTTTGAATCTGAAAAATAAACAAGGTTTAATGCTATAAAGCACAATTTATGAAACAGCTCTTAGCAAAAGCAAAATTAGCTATGCATTTAATTAAAAAGTCTTTTTAATTTTTTCATAGTAAGAGTTTTTTTCCATGTAATTGTCTCAGAATATTCAAAATTCTCGGAATATGCTTCAGTTTTCTCTGTAAAATTAATTTTACACTTTTTCCCCTCTTTTTTTTTTTTTTTCCAAAATATTTCTGGCTGTTTGCTGTCACAGAATTGGTAAGGATGATTTTTCTTTAGTATTTTAGACATTGCAGCTTGGAAAGTTTAGCAAGATCTGAAGGCAAAATTTATTAATAAAAGACCCATGATTCTAGAAGATTTGAGAAATATGTGACAAAATGATAAATGTCTCCATGGTATCAACAAATAAAGGATGTATTTTATGGAAAGTTAGCGATGAATTTCTTACTTTTTGGAGAATGTCTGGAAGAACAATGAAAACATAATATTTGAATGTTTACTCCTGATACTAGAATCTTTTTCTTAACATGTTTATCTTCTCTTTATTTTCTCTACTTTTCACTAGACACAAGGGTGGAAAATATCAAAAATGCTTCTAATCTTATTACATGCGCAGGTATTATAGAAATGGATTTTTTATTAATAAAGAAATTAAAAACTTACAATTCAAAAGATTCATCTAATATGTCTTCCTGCATCATACACAGAGCTGGCACTACGCATTTTCCCACCTGATGCAATCTCTGTGGATCCTAATTCTGCTGCTTAGCATCTTTCTAAATTCTGCTTCCAGTGCCTGCTCTACATTCTAAAAGTTTTGCTATTTCTAGATTTTGTTTTATGATGTGTCACTAAATTCTAAAACTTCTGTCACACCAGCTCTGTAACCGGCCTTTACCATATATATTTCATATTTCTTCTGAATGTTCATATTACTAAAGAAATAAAATTAGCCATTTTTTCTATACATTCTAAATGCATTTAGTGTTTTTTAGAATAACAGAAATCCTTAATTAAATTCTAAAATGAAAAGGAAGGAAACACGCTAAAGAAAGAAACTGAATACATAAAGAAAATTATTCTTCAAAGATATGTGCAGTTATTACTATATAAATTACCCAATTATTTATGATTTCAGCCTTTACTATAATTTCCCATTTCTATTTCCTCATATGATAGAGCTACTAAGCCAAATTAAATTGAAATTAAATTGTATAATCTTTGACCACTAATCCACATTTTTAGTTTGGATTTAACTGTTGTTTAATTACATCACTGTAAGCTATAATTGATTTTTTTTAGCATCAGAACATGCCTTTATGTTCTAAGTTCTTTTTAAATAAGAGGCTTATTTAAACCTTTGTCTGAAAATGCAGTTACTTTCAGACATAGCAATAATTTGTTTGTCTGTCTGGGGTTTTGGACTATTTAACTTTTCCCAGACCAGGTAAACTCTCATAGTTATATTGTGGAGAGGTTGACAAGTTAGGAGATAAGGCATGCAAAAACTAGCAAGAGCACTGGTTTGCATGTTGACACAAATCTCTAATTGTTAGAAAAGATTAAAGAGAAGGAAATCAATTATAAACTAGCCAAAATGTTTGGGAAGGTTTCAAATTAAAATGTTGGATAAATATTTTGTTGAGTGTTGTTGTTATAAAACATAAATGTTTTGTAGCTTTTAATGTGTCCTAATATCATTTAAGAATCAATATCATAAATTACATGTATTTTAAACTGTGAAATTTTATTAGATTGGGATTTTAATAGGGCCTTTTTTAACAAATATTGTTAAAAAATAAAATTTAATAGTGGCCATGTAAATCCATAATGACTAAGGTTTAATTACTTAATTTAATTATTTATAACTAACTGCTTACCCTAAAAAATTTTCTCTACATATTAAAGAGAGTTGTTGCCCTTTGTTAATACTCACTGTGGTCATAATATTAAACACAAAAATGTAAAAATTCAAGTAAAACTTATTCTTTGCATCTAGTGAGACTTAAAATAATACAAAACAACTTATCACCTCTGGTGATTTAATGGCTTATTGGAACCTTAAAGTATATTAACTTGGTTGCAAACCTTGGAACTTTACACGAAGCTATGCCACTAACTGCATCAAACAGAGCCTGACTAACTTTGAACACTTTCCAACCGTGCCTACATCAGGCCTTTCAAGTTTGTTCCTATCAGCAGGTCTCTCTCTAGACAAGCAGCAGTGGTGACAACATTGTCTTTTGTTATGAATCAGGCTGATAATGATCTTACTTCTCATTTTAATCTATGCCTGCTATAAACCTCTAGACTGACTAAGTATGCGACAAAATGAGACATAAAAAAAATCAACATAAAGCTAACTATTAGTAAGACATAAAAGTCACTTATCTTCCTTCAAATATGTCCAACTATTATAAGTGCAAAATATTTAATGATACTTGATAAATTGCATAAAGTTTATTTTATTCTCAAACTTATTAATAATTATGTTAATTAATTCATGTTTAGTAATAATGCATACTATTTAGGGATCTCTTTTATACCATCCTAAATAATACCATTTGTATGAAATTCAGGCATAGATAATATTTTTAATTGAATTTATTCAGTTCCCATTTGCTCATAGGTCCTTAATTTTTTTCATTAATGGTCCTTAAAAGTACTTGATTTCTGTGTGCAGAAATATGTACGAACCCTGGTGCAGGAAAATCATCTGAGGATAATGCATTATTGGTGAAAAGATACAATTGTTGGTTAATGTTGGCAGTAATGAGTAGATCAAAGGTGTCTTTGCATCCATATAAAGAAGAGATAAAAGTTGAAGCATTTGGGGCATGGATGTTCATATCCTTAAATTGGCAGTAATTATACAGAATAATGCATCAGGGTTATTGTTTCTGATTTCCAAACTGTATTTTTGCAGTTAAAGTCCCCCGCTATAAGTATGGGAAATCCTATATTTACTATGGCGTCCAGGTTTTGGGTATTAAGATGAGATTGCAGAGGTTTAAAAATTGATACTATTAAATAAATGGTATTGTTTCAGGGTAAAATGCAAATGCAAGCCTCTATGCTATTAAAAGCAGGGAGAGGATACACATAGCTTTTTAAGATAACTTTTTATGGCAATTGCAGTTCCACCACCTCTATTATGAAGATGGTCAGCTCTGTAGATGTGAAAATTTGGGATTTTCAGTTTATCGGTGCAACGTAGGTGAGTTTCGTTAAGCATGACTATGTCTAACTTATTCTTGGAGATGTAATCTCTGAGTTCTAGTAATTGGTTGTAAATTCCATTATAATTGAAGAACATGAATTTTGTGTAACAGATATGTTTTAAATTTTTAGTAGAATTATTTCTGTTGTAATTAATCATGTTCGTGGTTTATGAAAAGCTTTACAGCCTCGAGGGTGATATTTAGTCTGCTTGAAGAATCTGTTGCTTTTTTACTTTGTAGGTACATATTATATAAATTTATGATGAAATCTTTAAATTCGTCAAAGTTGTCTTCATTTTCTTCTTTATTCTTAACATTATTAGGTATATTTTTAGAAAAATTAGTTTTCTTGCTTCTTGGAGGGGCTGCGGCAGCCACGGCATATGATTGGTTAGTTAGAGGAGTTGAAATTTTTCCTGATTGGCTGTCTGTAGTCGTAATGCTATTTTGTTCATTTTTTGGAGTAGAATCATTAATTTTGTTGGTTTATTAAATTTGTTATCATCAATTCCAGGCCACTTGGGACATTCCTCACTGCATGCTGGGTGAGGTCCAAGACACAGAATACAGGTTGGAACAAATTTTTTCTTAAGTCCAGATGGGCACTCTTTAGATTTGTGAGTGTCAAGACATCTCATGCATCTAAAAGGGTTGTGGCAGGTTCTTTGAGAGTGACCGTACCGTTGGTAGTTAAAACACTGCGTAGGTCCCGGTCTACTCTTATAGCCTCTTATTTTGATATCCATAATTTTCCTGACATGGAATATCTTCTTACTCTCATCTATCTTAGGCACTTTGGCGTAGAAGACAGAGAGGTATACAGTGGTGCCATCTCTGGTCTGCTGCAGTTGTCTAACTTTTGAAACTGGGATTTGTTGCTATTCAAGGTCTTCTTTGATTTCGTCCACTGTGATATCGTCAGATAATCCTTTTATTATGGCACGAATGCATTTTTCAGAGTTTAACAAATAAGTGTGAAATGATAGGGCCTCTTTTTGGAGGTAATCCTGTATTTTCCTGTAATCTTCTGAGTCATAAACTTGAATTACTTAGTTGTCCTCCTCTTTTTTGGCTTCTACTTTTTCTACCTTAAGTATTTCTTTAATGAATTTGCGTAAGTTTTTCCAATTAATATTTTTAGTGATAACTAAAGATGGGATTTTCCCGGCATATTTATTTGGTTTAACAAAAGATGCATCATTTGTGTCAGTTTCATCCATTTTTTCATTTTCTGTAGGATTGTCAAGATTTTGATCTATGCTTAGTGCACTGAATTTATTGCAAAGTTATGTAGAGAGAAGGTTATCTTCTGAGTCAGATAGCTTTCTCGCTCTTTTGTTTGTGCTGGAATTCATGTATCTTTTTTGCCACTAATTAATGGTAGATTTTTAGTAATAGCATCTATTGTACTTTGTTTATTTGCGAGAAGCGCAAGAACTAGGGTTTCAGTTTGAGTGCATTGGGATTCTAAACATTTTAACATTTTAGTTTCCTCTTCTGAGGGGTTTTCAGGGAATTTTGATTTGAAAATTTCCATATCCTTTCTAAGATTGTAAAGTGTTTCAATTTCTTTAAAATAGACAGTGTCCATAGCCATGTCGTCAATCGTTAGATAGGCAATGACCGAGTCAGTAATCGATAAGCAAAATTTGCCCTATTCAGTTACAGTCAGTCTTAAAGAAAATCAAGAGTCAGTAAATCGTAAATGTCCTTTCAGCTATCATATAACGATAAGAAGCAAAAGAACATACTCGCTCAGTATTCAAATAGAACAGTAAAACTACAGGAGCAAAGGGGAAAAAATGTCTTATCAACTCAATGCACAGTTAAGAAGTGCCTGGAAAGCAGCAGGCATAACAGACTATTTATACCCTACTGCAGTAACATTATAATTCGCTTCCGATAGTGAAGAAAGTGACACAGAGGTTATTGAAAGCGAAAAAATTTTGATTGACAAATTAGTCTGTATTCTCGACACAGCAATTATAGGACTTGAACAGCGGAACTTTGTAACTGAACAAGAAATTATGTCTGTTTGTAGAATTAAAGAGAATGTATTATCACATAAAAAACGAAACAACTTAAACATAATACATTGAAAGAAATGTTTAATAAAGTAAACAAATAAATATTAAGCTTTTTTTTTTGTAAATTTTGTTATTTATTTATAATTGTTATTTATTTATAATTGTCCTTTAGATCATAATTGTTCTTTATTTCATAAATTACGGTTTCATATTTTTAATTTTATAATTTCTGCATGCCATCTTACGAGATTTAAACTGATGATCTATAATCCGGAAAAATCAATAATCCGGAATCGCCGAAGTCCTGACGAGTCTGGGTTAACGACTTTTGACTGTATATATATAGCTCCAATATAAAATTCGACTACTTGCATTATTGCAATTTATAGAATTTCTGTTTAATGATTTCATTTTGATATGTTAATTGAAGAAAATAATAAACTTTTAAAATATTCCATGTCTTTCATTTTATTTTCAGAATTAAAATCTAAGAATATGTCACATTGGACAGATATACTTAAGTATATTATCCCACTTGTGTTATTTTTGCTTCTGACCATTGCTGGAAGTTTTTACTTTTTAAGTAGGAGGAAACTTCTAGTGAAGGTAAAATTATTAGTACTATTTTCCTATCATATTATAAACTACACAACATCATTTACTGCTTTAATTAGTTTTTTAAAAGGTATAATTTTCTTTAATATTATCAAACTTAAAATGTATCGTTTTATTTCTGGTAAAATTATTGTTTGTTATACTTATGTAATATAGGTAACAGTTTGATAATTTATCCATCATTTACTGGCACCATTTTTGGTGTCATGTATGTAAACATACACATAATTATGAATCAAATACAAATTCTAAATGTCTGCAAATTTTGTATTAAAAAATATTGTAGCATTTTTTGTATATCACATTCAGCCATTATTTAAACATTGTGAATGCTGAAATTATATTTTAGAAATCCATATTATGTCAGATTTAAAAATAAAAGTTACAAACTTCAAACAATGGTAAGAATAAAAATATCATTGTAGCTTAAAAAGCTCATGAAGTTAGAACTTTCTTTTTAGAAGAGTTTTTTTTTCTTAGTTTTATGAAAAATGGAGACCACTTGATTTTAGTATTTCAAAAATTCTGTCACATTTTTATTAAGAATTATTTTTAAGAAACTGATTGTTTAATAGCATCTTTTTATTAAAGAATTACAGAGCATCAAGTAATAAACATTATTTTTTAACCCATGATATTATTTTTAACACTTAACATTCATTTAATGATTTTAACTTCATATTCGAAATTAGATTCACTCTTAAGTTCTTCCAATATGAATTAATTTTTTTATCTTCTGTTTCCTACCCTACTTGAATACTTTTATTTTCAAACTTACATCTTTATTCATGTAATCATCATTTATCACCAAGTAAACTACTTTTAAATGGATATATAAATTTTTGGTATTTCATCAGTGTTTCAGCACATAATTCATATTAAATATCTATCTGCTTTTTGTCATTCATCATTGCAAGCTGCACTACTCAAAACAGTTGTGGGATTTTGTGATTTTGGGCATAAATTGCAGATGAGAAAATATATTGGTAATCGATACATGATGTATGTTTGTTGTAAGATATGAGAAAAGAAAAAGAAGTAATGAATAAGGAATAACTAAACCTTATTGAGGATATTTGTCGGTATACAAAAAAGTGTGCAATTTGTGCATATTATACAAACAGGTTTATTGGATACAAATGAGTCTCAATAAAGGGTATGGTTTCCCCTAACTGAAAGTAATGTCACACACCAACGAAATATGGAATCAGTGAGGCACTGGGGCATTCTCTCCCTTATCCTGTAGAAGATAGTTTAATAGTTAGATTGTTAGTAGTTTAACCTAAGTCTGAATCCAGGTAAAAGGACTAGCTTCATGTTTAGTTTTGTGGTTTCTGCCTATATGTAATGTAAATACAACATGCTTACAAGATGCTGTCTGATACAAGATGCTGTCTAAAATAAACATGCTTCTCAGAAAGTTCTCCATGAAGGCATCTTTAATGTTAGGCAGATAGCATACTAACCATAAATAAAATAATGGAATTTATAAACAACAAACGGTGTACTTAAAGCTCTCATTGGGCTCACTCTTTGTGAGTGTGGGTGAGGCAGATATAAGGTACCCTAGGTTTTAGGGGATCATCCTCTTGTTGAGAGGGAGTCATAATCCTGCAACTCCAGTGATCTTCTCACCTTCCTTTTTCCCCTATTCTTTTCTGTTATTATTCTACTTTTTCTCTCCAGATGTTGAAGTTCAAAGTGAGATGCTGTTATACCTTTGTTTCTAATTTCTCATGAAGAGGAAACACCTATGCATTTGCTGTTCATGGAGAACCCTAAAGCTGGAAAAGTTATTACTGAGGATTTGGTAACTGCATGGCAGTTGCACGGGCTTTAGATTGCATATAGGCCTGGTTAGCCCTGACGCAGGAATCTAGATCTCCTTGTAGGATTCCAGAATGGTTAAGTCCATTGTATCTGAATCTTTCTTAGTTTTCAAATAATGGCTTCTTAAATTTCACAAGGTCTACTTATAATGTTCCAACTGAAAAATTCAAAACAAATATTAATACGAATTAAGATGAATAAAATCTTGCTTTCTTGTTTTTAATAGCTCAGCTAGCAATCTGCAAAAATATCGCCTTTTCTTATTTACAAGTTTATGCAGCCCAGTCTTGGTGAATCCAAGAATATCAGATGGGTACAGTCTAGTGATTTTGTTGAAATCTCTCCTCAATCTCGATCTATTACACTCTTTGGACTGAAAAAGATAGGGCTAATTGAGTAAGTACATCAGGGCACAAAACTTTAATCTCTGAAGTTAAACCATAATAATAATTTAAATTCCTCTTTGTATCAGAAGAGGAAATTATTTCTGAGATGTCAAACACAGTGCAAAATAAGTAAGTAAGGTATGAAAAATATATATTGAAAGCCTAGGCACACTACAAAGAGTTTTTCTTTTACTAGTAAAGAAATATATTATCTAATATAATTTATATTTTAAAGAATTTTAAAGTAGTAATGATGCTCTTTAGAAATTTTCATGTAGTTCAGATGCTTATGCATACTTTATTGAACTACTTTATTGAAAACTTAATATTTTCATTTAAGAATAGATTTTATGAGCTTGCATCAAAGTATATTAATGCCTTACATTTTGAATTCCTTTTTATACTTATATAAAATTATTTATATTCCAAGGAAAAGTTAGTGGCAAAGCCTTCTGGTACTGCTGATGTTCCTGCCCATTTGCTTCCTTTCTTATTACCTCTGAATAAAATTGAGTTGTTAGAACCTCTAGGAGAAGGAGCATTTGGTATTGTTCATAAAGGCATCTTTCACAAAGGCAAAGACAAAGAACCAGTAGCGGTTAAAACATTTAGACGTAAGTTTGAAAAATAATGCACCTTGTTGAGTAAAACCTTTTCCTAGATTTTATGAATTCTGTAGTTCACATCCAATATCAATTAATTCAGTTTTGTAGAAGTCTGAAATTAATATAAATTTTTATGAATATAAAATTTTAAAACAGTAGATTTTTCAGAAGTTAATGTAAAAAATAGCCCCTCAATCCAACTGTATCTTGTATTCAGTTGTTAGAATTAAACTTACTTCTCTTTATACACAAAACTCCCTGAAGTCTATGCACTGGGAGATATAAATTCTTCTATTTTCAATCTTGCATTTTTGCATTTACTGACGGAGGCATAGCTAGGGATTTTAGCAACCGCAGACAAATGAAGATTTTGTGCCCCTTTCTGCGTGCCAAGAATGGAAAACATTTCATTCTAAAATTTTGTAACATTAATGCCGCCCCCTGAATGCCTGAGCCCAGGGACAGATTCCCCCCTTGCCCCACCCTAACTATGCCACTGCTTACCGAATTTAAAAACTTGGCAATTCGCAGGTAATTATTCAGAGAGGTTTATTGCTTTTGCAAAATGGTTTAATTCATTAGCAGATTTTTCGGAAGTTATGTAAAAAAGAACTTCACAATCCAACTGTACCCTGTATTCAGTTGTTAGAATTAAAATTACTTCTCCTTATACATCAAACTCTCTAAAGATGGGATGATGTAATTCTGGGAGATGTAAATTCTTTAATTTTTAATCATGCATTTTTGCATTCCCTGAATTTCATTCTAAAATTTTGTAACATCTATTTGCCGCCCCCTGAATGCCTGAGCCCAGGGACAGATGTCCCCCCTTGCCCCACCCTAGCTATGCCACTGCTTACCGAATTTCAAAACTTGGCACTTTTTCTTAATTATTCAGAGAGGTTTATTGCTTTTGCAAAATGGTTTAATTAGTAGATTTTTTGGAAGTTATGTAAAAAAGAACCTCACAATCCAACTGTACCCTGTATTCAGTTGTTAGAATTAAAATTACTTCTCCTTATACATCAAACTCTCTAAAGACTATGCACTGGTAGATGTAAATTCTTTAATTTTCAATCATGCATTTTTGCATTCCCTGAATTTCAAAACTTGTTACTTTTTGTTAGTTATTCAGAGGGGTTTACTGCTTTTGAAAAATGATTTAATTCATTACTAACACACTATATGTATTAGTCATAATTTTTTTATCTAATTTATTAATATTACTACCAGCTGTTGCAGCTAATAATGCATACTTGAAAATTGGTTCAGAACTTCTTCTTTTGTTGAGTTATATTTGTATAGTCATTAATTAACCTTTAAAAAATTTAAAGTTTTCATTTTTGAAAATTGTTCAGTAATATCTTCTTTGTAATCAAGTCATTCACAGTATTGTTTTTCTACAACAAGTAGTGCTAAGATGTTAGCCTTTCCTGTCATACTTAATCTCTTAAATAATTTTTAATTGATTTAAATCAATTAAAATTTAATTGATTTGATTTAAAAAAATTGTCAATTGCTTTAAAAACGGGGGAAGATCCCTCTTCTGATTTAAAAACAGAAATTTTGTAAAAAAAAAAAAAAAAAAAAAATGTTATTTTTGATAATTTTCGCATTTTGCATCAATTTTGTAATGAATTCCATCACTTATAATATAAAACATACTTAGATTTTAAAATCTGCTTGACCAATTAAACTGATTTTTTCAATACGTGTTTGGTTTTCTTCTTCAATAAATTAAAAAAAAGTGTTTCCATTTTCCGGGTCTCATGAGTATTTGCATAAAATTTTATATCGGATACAGAATTTTATATTAAATGCTTCATTTTCAGTTTTTTTTCATTTATTCTTTAAATTATGTATATATTATGATAAATTTTGTACTAAACCTATGCAAGTTATTACAGTATTACTGAGCTCTTGCATAGGTTTGCCAGATACTGTCGTTCTTTCAATATTTTGTCTCAAATAATAAGCATTAGTATAAACTACAATATTCATATTTTTTCTCTATTTTTGATTATTATGTTTACTTCTATCTGAGTTGAAGGATTATACGATCCATCTTAGTCGAAGTAAAAAAACTTTGTGTTTCATATATATCTGTTTTGGATTGCTTTTATAGCATTTGCTAATAATATCTATCCAGTACTACATTGTCTTTTAACAGCAAAAGTGAAGAAGTATTATTTGTGTTGTATTTTGAAGAATATTTCTAAAGGAAAAGAATTTTATGCTTAAGTTTGCTATGTGATTTTTCTTATGTAGAGTTAATACTTTTGTATTTTTCTTATAGCAGACAGCATTACAAGGCATCAATTGCTTGAAGAAGTAGCTATTCTGCAGGATATTGGAAGGCATAACAGAATTATCAAACTTATTGGATTCACTTTGGACATAGATAGGATGTATTTACTTCTAGAATTATGTCCACTAGGAGATTTACGCACTTGGCTTCTCAATGTATATGAAAAGGTGAGTTTCTTTCACAGAGAAGAGCCAGTCTTACATTTATAGTAAAATTTCAGTTACTTGAACTTTGATAATTCAAAATATTCAATAAATTGTGATGTTTTCTGCCAGACGAATGTAGTAAAATTAATGTTAAATTTACTGATAAGTCAAAATACTTTTTGTTGGAAAAATTCAGCATATCAAATGCTTTTAAATATTGTTGAAATTATTCCATATATTTTTCATTTCTCCGTAAAATGAAGTGAGATCCAATCCCAGGTACACAAAAGCCCTGACTGCAACCTTTCTTTGTAGGCATACTATTTTGTTAAATGTGAAATACTTTACACTCTTGTGATTTCCTCAGTTATAATTTCCTGCAAGTTGTTGCAATCATATATTTTGCGGATGTTTAAAAGTGCATTTTAAGATAAAAAATAACTTATCATGCAAATATTATCCATTTTTTAGTTTGGAACTATGCATAACTCTAGTTAATATTTAAAGTTTTGGTACTACTTGTTTTTCATGGCCAAGTTTAAATTACTTGCAATACTTTGTGGCTGCCATATCTATGCAATTGCTTTTAATATGACATCAAAAGGTTTAGCTTTCCCGGAGGATTTCCACCATATGAATTTTGAAAGATGTAACTCTTATGTCACGCTGTACCCTTTGCTTTTTATTTTGCCATTTGAAGAGTCCATCAATCTTTCAACACTTTGGGTGTGAGTCCCCATTGTTGGATCAACAAAATTAAATTTATGATTCACAGGTAAATAGTTACAACCAGCCTTTGCCGGGGTTCGTATGGTCCTTAAAAGTCCTTAAATTTTTTTGAATCGATTTTTGTCCTTAAAAATCCTTAATTTTGATCAAATTCGGCAGGAGGTCCTTAATTTTAATCTTCTAAAATGTCTGTCTGTTTTTATGACTCCCAGTTTGGATGTTAATTAGCATTCTGGACAAATATTTTTGGCGATTCATTGACAAATATAGTTATTTTTTGATTGGTTCATGCATTTTAATTTGTTTCTATTTCTAATACAAACAGTGGGATACTCAAGTTTCTGAGCAAGAAGTGAAACAATTCATTTTGAACAATTTGGAACTATTTCATTTTTTCTAATGAAGCGATCTTAAATTACTTTTCACTTTTGAGAATGTGAATTCTTTATTAAACGGTTCAAAATTTAGCGATTTTAAGATCAGTTTCTGTAAAAAATTTTGAATTTGGAAATATGGGAATTTTTTGATGTTATTTTTTTAAAACATTATATCATTGATCATTTTCATTAAAATAATGCCAATAATTGTATTCAAGAAATAACATTAAAATGAAACATTTATATTTTTCGCTATCATATGATAAAATGACACTGCTTTCCATTTTGGCAGCTTAAACAATATTTTGATTCTGAAAAATAAATAAGATAATAAATGCTTAAATTGTGCTTTAGCACAATTTATCAAAGAATTCTTAGCAAAAGCAAAATAGCTATTTATTTATTTAGTTAGAAATGCCTTCATTTTAATTTATTTCATGCTAAGAGTTTTTCCCATGTAATTGTCTCAATATGCATCAGTTTTCTCTGTAAAATTAATTTTACACTTTTTTCTTCTGATTTTTTTCCAACATATTTCTGGCTTTTTGCTCGTACAGAATTGTAGGGGTAAATTTTCTTTAGGATTTTAGACACTGCAACTTGGAAAGTTTAGAAGTATTTGAAGGTAAGATTTATAGACTCACGAATCTAGTACATTCCAGAAAAATGTCTTCATGGTATTAATATGGAATGGATGTATTTTACAGAAAGTTTGTGATGAACTTTTTGGAGAATTTTTGGAAGAACAATAAAAATATAATATTTGAATGCTTTACTTCTTGTCATGCTTGTCAGAATGGCAGAGACCCCTCAGGGGGCTCACTCTTGTGAGTACGGGTGTGGCAATCCCGAGGTACCCTAGCCCTTCAGGGGATCATCTTCTTGGTGAGACGGGTGTCACGATCCTGGAGCCCCAGTGATCTTTCCTCTTTTCCGTCTCCTCTCCTCTTGGCTGGAACTTTTTCCTTTCTCTTCTCCCTCGTGGTTTCTCTCTACAGAGTTTGGGGCTCGTCACGAGAGACTAGAGCAACCCTTGTTTCTAGTTTTCGAGTGGCGAGAAAACTGCCCACGTGTTTGCCGTGCGTGGAGACCCATGTCGCTAAAAAGGAGGGTCCTGGTAGTTGAGGGGCGAGGTACTGTCCCCAACACACTGCTTTGGCCTCTGCTTCAGCTAAACGGGAGGCACCTTAGTCGTCCTCACGGGTGTCAATCGGCTGGTCACTTGTCCTTGTGTCAGTGGCTTGGGGTCAAGCTCTCGGGAGTACCTGCTTTCGGGAAAGCCGACTGTGGGGCTTCAGTTTGCGTATAGGTCCGGCTAGCCCTAACACAGGAATCTGTGTTCCCTTGTTGGGCTCCGTGGTGGGCGGGGCCGTCGGACCCGAATCATTTTTCTTTCACTATGGCTTCTTCACATATATACCTAATTAAAGATTTCGAGGTCACTCCCGTCACTCAACCTAGTTCGGATAGGTCTACTACTAAACCAGTAACTCAACCTAGTTCTGAAACGTCTACTGCTAAACCAGTCGCTCAACCTAGTTCTGAAACGTCTACTGCTAAACCAGCCACTCAACCTACTTCTGAAAAGTCTACTGCAAAAAAATTACGCACAGATACAAATGAAAAAAATCATAACAATAGCCCCCGTTTCCTAGTCATTTCTAGTCCTTCTGGCGAGCTGCATAAGATGTCTCCTTTCATAATAAATAAATATATTCATTCTTGTATTGGTGAGCCGAGAAATATAAAGCGTCTCCGCTCCGGAGACTTCCTTATTGATACAATCTCAGCCACCCAGTCTGCTTCTTTACTTCAAATAACTAAACTTGGGCAAGCGAATGTCACTGTAACAGCACATAAGACACTGAATTATTGTCGTGGCGTAATATCGGAATTCGACCTTCTGTATGTTCCTGAAGAAGAGATCGCTTCCGAGCTATCCGACCAAAATGTCTGCGGTGCTAGGCGGATCAAGATGCGTAAGGAAGGTAAGTTGATCGATACGAAACACGTGATCCTTACCTTCAACACGCCTGATCTGCCTAAGAATATTAAGGCTGGATATTTAAATTGTCCTGTAAGACCTTATATTCCGAACCCTATGCGATGCTTCCAATGCCAGCGTTTCGGCCATTCTAAGACGTCTTGTCGTGGCAGCCTCACATGCGCCCGATGCTCACAGATTGGCCACGATTCTGAAAATTGTACCGCTGCGCCTCTTTGTATAAATTGCAAGGGTGAGCACCCAGCATTTTCACGCCTCTGCCCAAAATGGAAATTGGAAAAAGAAGTGCAGACTGCAAAGGTTACGAGGAACATCTCATATGCCGAAGCCAGAAGATTAGTCCAAAGCACACAGCTACGACCAAATACATCTTACGCCAATGCTCTAAAAAAGATCTCGCTCAGTTGCCACCCAAACATCAGTTAGTATGCAGACGCCACCAAACAAAACTCAACAGACTACAAACAACAAGAAGAAAGAAAACCCAACCCATACAGTACAAAATAAAGAAATAGTAATTCAAAGCAAACCCAAAAAAAACTACCACACGAAAAGAAACAAATAAAAATAGAAGTTCCAGCAATAGCTCTCTTGATGGAATGGTTTCTGAATCTGCGGATTCAGACGGTATGGAAGTAGAAGAGGGTCTGGAAGTTCCCAGGCATCTACTTCCACGAAAAACCAAACAAGAGCACAGAAAGAACAAAAACCATTCATAATGGCCACCCTCGTATCATGGAACTGTCGCGGTTTTCCACCGAAATTTGCTCGACATCAAAGCTATAATCAATGTTCATCATCCTGTATGCTTCGCAATACAGGAAACAAATCTAAAACCGGAACAACAAGCAAAACTTCGGAGGTTTTCTTTCGTCAGGAAAGATAACCATTGCAGGTGAGCGTGCCAGTGGAGGTGTAGGTCTCCTCACCTCACTGGATTATCCCTCAAATGTGCTTTCTTTGACGACATCCCTCCAAGTTGTCGCTACTCAAACAAATTTTGATATTGTTGTTTACAGTCGTTTCTCTGTATTTGCCTCCAAATGAGCATATTGATCAGCAAGATTTAAATGGTCTTTTAGAGCAGCTGCCTGAGCCTTTCATCATAATAGGAGATTTTAACGGCCATAGTCCGCTCTGGGGTAGTAAGGATACTAATTGCCGAGGAAGACAAATTGAGCAGATGATCGAAGATCATAGCCTTTGTCTCCTCAATAATGGGCAAGATACTTACTTCCATGAGCCTTCAAAACATTCCATGCTCTCGACCTTGCCATCTGTTCACCATCTCTGTTGCCTTTTTGCACTTTTTATGTGGGTAAAGATCTTTACAACAGTGATCATTATCCCATTCTTGTGTCTCTTGCACGAAGAGGAGCAAACCCCATGTCGAGATCCCCTCGATTCATACTGGACAGGGCAGACTGGGAACTCTTCTCTTCCATTGCAGAGCTCACAGATGAAATGGTAGAAGATGCGCATATCGATGACGCTGTTGAAGCTGTTACTAATACTATTATTCAGGCAGCTATGCTTTCCATTCCTAGAACATCAGGAAAACTACTAAAATATTCAAAACCATGGTGGAATCGCGACTGTCATGAAGCACTGAAAAAAACAAAAAAGCATGGGGTATTTTTCGTAGATATCCTCCTACTCTGCGAAACCTCATAGCCTTTAAAAGAGCCAAAGCAAATGCACGAAAAGTAAGAAGGCAGAGCCAGAGGGATTCCTGGATTTCATATGTGTCGTCAATAACATCCTCCACGCCTAGCAAGCGGGTTTGGGAAAGAGTTCGAAAAGCATGCGGCATATATAAAGACCACTCACTTTCCTTTTTGGAAAAAGATGGCCGAGTGATTAGCTCCATAGAAGAAATTGCGAATACTATTGGTGAGACATTTGCTTCC